CTCAAATTCCAGAGTGCTAAATTTTCTGTAAATAGAGGATAAGCAGGACATTTCAGCTCTCAGGCTGAAGAGTGATCTGATTTCAGACTCTTCCCCCTTCCAAGGACTCCGCTCCAAGGTTGCTTATGGGATTGTCTGCTGATAATATTTTATTTTGGAGCTCATTGGATCAGTTCTCCATTAGGCCTCAGAGGACATAATTTTGTTTTATGATCACGTGGATGGTTTATTTCTGCCTTCATTGTGGCTGTTTTCTGGTTTGGCAAACTGACCAAATTAAGAAAGCTGAGGTTTCTTAGGATTCTACAGTTTATAGTTTCATTTGAGGCAAAAATTAAAACATCTTAAAAGTTTTCCTGTCTGTTTTTTTCCCCCAATACCCCAATTGTTTTCTCTCAGTAGCTTAAAAATTACTGAAAATATTATGTCTCTGTTCTTGTGTTAGCATCTCTGGCGCTTCCAAACTGATCCTTAGGCCTCGGGATAAGGAACAATTTGCTTCTTTGATCATTGCATACCTGACAATAAAATCAAGGGATAGCTCATTAAAGCTAAGGCCAAGAGCTGTAATTCAGCTTTGTTATTGCTGAGCTTTTTCATTATTTGAGAGTATTGTTGTGTGTTTGAAGATGGTTGGCCCAACTTTCTAATCTAGGGAGGCTGAGTTCATGTAGGCTTGAGGCCAAAGCCGAAAGATTCCTGGTGCCTCACAGCCATCCTCTGAGCATGTTCTCATTGGATACAAGGCCAGAATGGTTTTAAAGTTGGCAGCACTCACGGAGGCATGAGTGAATGGCTGATGCCCTTTTAAGCCCCACCATGCCTGTGAAAATGGAAAAGAAAGGCTGTTTATTTTGGGCACATGTTTTTCAAGTCAGAGGTTTTGCAGGACAGAGTTGACCGGTGACAATTGGTGGTGGAGACAGCTGAAACCCCTTGGGTCAATGGGAAGACGAGTGTGGAGAGGTTCACATGGGAAGTACATTTCCAGTTTTGCTGTGGGTTCCTTGGGGATGTGTTAAGCTTGGGCACAGATGTAAGGGGAAGATTGGCTTCTGCTAAACCTCTGTGGCCTACTTCATATAGGGGATGAGAAAAATTGTATGCAGAAAAATAACAAAAGAATATGGCAACTTATATGTAGTGGAAGGGATGGGGGTCTAAGAAACAAAAATTTAATAATAATAAATGAAAAGAGAGAGCAGTCTGGGGGGAGTGTCAAACTTTGGTGGAAAGGGCATATGTTTTGTTTCTCTGGCATCTCCCTAGTTAGGGAGGATCATGTTGTAGTTAATATGGAAGATCTTACCAGACTTATACCCTGAAGAAATGCCCAGCCCTCGAGCATGCAATATTGGACTGGATGGAGAAATGTTCCTGTTCCTGTTCAGCCAGATTGAAATCTGAGGGCTTTTCAGAAGACTTGCTTTAACATGCTGTTAACCACTCCTTTGAGTAGGCAGGTAGGACAAACTAGCCAGATGCTGGGAATAATAGGTTTATACCACCTGTCACGATGCCCAAAAATTGGGTGGCAGGTGCAGGCTGAGGCAGGTGGATGTTCTCCTCCTGTTTGGTGCAGTACCTCCTGCACACCTCAAAGAGAGCAAAATCCATGTTTAAAAATAATCCATCTGATAGATCTCAGGCACGTTGCAGGTGAAGTGGGAGGGAGCAGTCAACAAGGGAGCTGACTCGTTGACTTGTTCTGCCAAGGAATGGTAGTGCTGGCTGGCAGTGAATGGCCAAAGACGGCAGTTCTGACCTCATGGCTGGCAGTGTCTGGAAAGAACTGGTAGAACATGTAATTGTGAAGGGCTCCATGAAATAGCATTTATCACCATGGCACTGAGTGCTGCTGAGCCAGAATGGAGTAGGCAAAATGGAGTAGGTGCCTTCTCCCTACCCAATTAGGACAACTTAAATGCAACTGTTCCTGGTGCTCATGTGAAAGTCTCACAAATAACAAAAAGAGAGAAAACAATTAAAAATACAGCCATGCAAAGCCTATTTTTTGGCCGAATTAGTGGAAAACCTGTAATACACACCCAATGTTGATAGGATAGACAGCACACAGCAAAAACGAAGTCTGTTTCCTGGTTTAAATTGAACTGTACGTTATAGGGCTAGGCCTCAAGATTTTTTAAAATACAAATCCAACACGCTCTCAGAAAAGAACTAAGCCCTGTATTTTTAAGGAGAAGATTTGACAAGTGCTATAAAAAATACCGGTTAAGTATTACCCAGGCAGAAGCCAGGTGTTCGGCTTTGCCTGCAGCCCAAGTCACATCCAATGATTAAAAGGGAAAAGTGAGGCCTGCAGCAGCCTAAAGGGGTGAGGGCCTGAAGTTGGGCACATCCTAGCTTTGATATCAAAAACTGCACCAACAATGAACTTAAATGTTGTGTTGGGAGAAGAGAGAAAATGCTACTTTAAAACCGGAGCAGTTAAGCGTGACAGAGGTACTTCCCTCAATGAACTGCAGATGAAACAAAAGCAATCTCATGAACATATGTCCCCATCCCCCCCAAAAGTGGTTACTGGAGCTTGTTAGACTACAGTTATGTAGAAAGAGGCCTTGAGAGCACAGGTTAGCCTGCAAATCTGACCTAATAGCCTTTATCAGATAAGGGACTATCACCTGACGTGGCCCATTTTGGTTGTGAGTTGACCTTCCCTAGTTAATTCCTTGTTTTGGCTGGATGTGTGTGCAAGCTGGAGCTTCATCCTGACATTCCTCTATTTGTAACTTCATGACAAGCTGTTGCTTTGTTATCCAATAGTCTTAGATTGCTATCTAAAAATACGGAGCGATAATCCTGCCGTTTTAAATACTCCCTGGGAACCAGGGTGAAGAACTGTGCCCTGAACCAAAAGCAAGGCTGGCTTAAGGGTTGCTTTCTGGAATGACTTTCTGCAGAGCTCTGGGGTTTGGTTGTTCACCTGTATGGGCCATTTGTTTACCCTAGTTTTCTACAGACTGGGCCTCTTGGGCCATGCTTCCTGCTCTTTCTCTGGTCTTGTCCAGCAATCACATGGAGCCTGCATGCTTTCAGCTGGTCATTGGCTTTGTACCTTGAGACGTACTTGGCAACAACCACAGAACAGATCAGAGCCATGCACGAAGAGATTTTTTTCAGGGTAAAAAAAAAAGGGGGGGGGGAATGATGATTTTGGGTGGCAGTGACCTAGTTCAAATAAGGTTTCCCAACTTCCTCCTCTCTGACATCCCATGTATAGTTTGGCAGGTCAACCTGTTGGCAGAAAGAAGATTGGAAAAATGAGACACTTGTTTACTGTTTCTTACCAGGGTCAAGAATAAGAAGGGTGGGCTTAAATCACGAGGGCCGAATAAATGCCCGGGTTGCAATTTAGCTCTGTGTATCTCCTGCACTACAGCTTGTAGTGTATGGCAGGGGTCCCTCTTGGGCAGAAAAGATTGCCATCTGGGTACAGAGCAGTGCCTTATTTTTGTTCCTGCTGGGACTGAGTGGCAGTTCGGCAGCATAAAGGCTGGACTCTGTTGGTGGCCTACAGTCTTTGTAGGAGAAATGGAGTCATCGTTTTTTTCTGTGTTTCTGTAGCAGTGCCAGGCTTGGGATGAGAGTTGTTTGTTTGCCTTTTCTAAATGGCAGCTGAGGAATAAGAAGGATCTGTTTGCTTCGTAGCTGTCCTACGCAGTTGTTATTGCATTATCCTTTTTTAAAAAATAAATAAATAAAAACTAGGAAATGCAAGAAGGTTGAAAGTGATAAAGATGCTGTGGCTTGACTGCTTATATCCCCCTCCCCCCCTCCCCCAAGAGCTGTGAACAACTCACAGGAATTGCATACTCAAGGCCTTGTCCGAAAGCACTCTCTGATAATGTAAATGCAGATTCTTGACCTCTGTGTCTTCCAACTAAGAACGTCATTTGTGTAGGCAGGCTGTTAAGGCCTGTGGAAATGCAACACAGCAGTGCCTGCATTTGTAGAAACTGCTTCCATCCTCTGTCTCTGCTCACTCACAGACAATGAAAGCTTCTAAGTGCCTGGATCCTGCTGCTTCTGCGGCCATCAAGAAGAAGAAAATGGAGTACGCAAAGCTAGGAAAGGAAGGTTAAGATGTAGTTTGTTGCTGCTTGGAAATATCCTTCGCTCTTTCATATGTAGGATCTTATATTTCTTGAACGAGTGACCTAGAAATGTAGGTCTTATTTCTTTCAACAGACTACTGGAAGCTTGCATAGTTTATGACCCATCCAGCCAAATGCAACCTACCAGTCTTGTTTCAGAAACAACTTGCCTGCCTGCCTGCCTGCTTGCTCAGAACTGCAATGAAGGCAGGGAGGTCTCTGGCAGGCCCGCTATAGTATGTGCCTCACAGGTATTTACTTTAGTCAGGCATAAATTGTACAGGCCATGACCCAGTGGGATGATCAGATTGATGGTAGCAGCGTCTCTCTCTCTATAAAGAGTCTATCTTTATTTTGTTTGAAGTACGTGACATGCTTGAGGCAAACCATGGTCGGAATTGTGTGAGTTAATCAGTGGGGTATGGGTAACGTCATCCTTGGACAGGATATGGGTTCAGTGGCTCTTTATCTTTCCCAAATGTGTGCTCTTGCAGAGATTTCCAGCCAGAACACTGACTTGGAAGGCAGCCTTTTTTTTTTTTTTTGCAGATTCTTACTCCCTCTGCAGTGCCATCCATAGTTCCTGGTTGTCAGCGAGACCAAACCAGAAGGATAAAACTACATTTACTGAGATTGGCTATAATAGCTAGAATCTTGCAAGTCTGATTGTGCTGTTCCTCCTCTTCCTCCTCCTCCTCTTCCTTATACTTCAGTAAATTAGGGAGTTTTCTGCCTGACCTGCTTCCAAATGCTATTTCATTGTTCTGGACTTTAAACATGTTTCAGTCCCTTTTGCCTAGGTAAATAGTTCCTGCATATTCCCACCAAAGTCACCTTTCTTACTCTGCACTGGGTTCAACTTCCTTCTCCCTTCTCATGCACCAGGTGGCGTGATCCTGTATGTGGGTTCAACAGCTGGTTCCAGCCCCACTCCAGGCAGCCCTCCCAGTGGATACCTGGTGTCTTCACCCCAACACTCGCTGCCATCCTCGTTAGAAGAGCTGACCCTCACCGAGATTGGAGCCATCAAGCCACAGCAGGCCAGCTCCCCCTCTTCACCCAAGGTAGCCTTCCAGTTTCCCGAAGGGATCTGCTACCCCAGCAAGGGCCAGCTCCCCCCAACACCAAATAAGGTGCCTGCCACCAAGCAGAATGGAGCTACCAGCACTTTCACAAGTAAGTGACTTTCCACATACAACTCCTCAGTTTAATATAGGTGGAATGACATAATAATCATTCCATTGGGTCTGTATCGACCTGGGATCCAGATAGAAAGACGAACAACCGTAAATTCTCCTTGAAGAATTTACAGTTGTTCTTCTCTCTTGTTACTGCTCTTTTGGGTGCACTCATTTTCTGACTTAATCAAATGTTGAAAATCACCCATTGCTCAAAATCTTTTTGCTTCAAGCAAAAAAGTGAACCATTAGAGAGGGCGTAGATCTCTGTCCAGTCCCTTGAAATTTCGAAACCCTCCTTATTGGAAGCATAGCATTGTTTTATTTACAGTAGCTTTTTGCAAGTATATTGACAAGGTTTCTGGGCAGTACTAAGCTGTATTGTGATTTGGTCCCTTATGATAGTTACAATAATGAATCATGGCTTTTGAATTTTGGGTTCCACTGAATGTGAGAGGTAAATTTAGTCAGCGGTGAGTTAGTCAAACATGTTTAAATGGTAGTCCCAACGTGCAAAATCTTTCTGTACAGGTGTGCATGTGACCGATGTCATTTCCATTTTAAATAAAAGTTCAGATGGTTTCCATTCTGATGGAGCTAGTCTGACACTGTCAGCCTTTCTCAACTGTTACCCTCCAGGTATGCTGAACTTCAATTTCCATAATCCTATGGTAATAAAGGCATGCTGACTGGGATTATAGGAGCTGACCTTTATTATTTCTGGAGGACAGCAAATTGGGGAAAATCAAAGGTGCCTTTTCCTAAAGGCAACTGGACTTTCTTGTTTTTTCTTTCTTTGAAAAGAAGAAGCTTCTGGGATGAGATGCAAAACGTTTTCAAAGAAAAAAGAAGGAAGTCCAGCTGCCTTTTGGAAAAAGCACCTTTGGGGCAACCGTGATCTAGATGATGAAGAATCTCCATAGACCAGTTAGGGAAAGTTACTTCAGTGGGCTGGGTCAGAGGAGAGGGAGATTGAATCAGAAATCTGGGCCTGGCAGGGAATTAAGATCGGTTCCTCTCTTCCTTTGCAGAGACTGGTGGGATGGTGTTGCTTTGCAAAGTTTGTGGAGACATTGCTTCAGGCTTCCACTACGGGGTTCATGCTTGTGAAGGATGTAAGGTAGGTTCATCCTCTTGCTTTCTTCCTCTTTTGTTTGTTTCTATTATGACAAGACTGTAGAAGACTTAAAAACATCTTTGTTTATAAATAGTTCAAGTTGAAATGCTCAAGATGGATTGGTTGATTATGTGCCCTAAAGACAGTGGTGTCAGTTTTTAGTGACCATGTAGATGGGTTTTCTCCAGGATGATCTTTCCTTAATCTGGTCCTTCAGGTCTTCCAATGTACCCATTGCCACTATAACTTGAGTCCATCAATCTTGATGCTGCTCATCCTTTTCTTATCTTTCTTGCTACCTTTCTCAGCAGATAAGTTTCCAAAGTATGATCATTTAAATCTGGTCACTTCGGTCACCGCTTAAAACTTTGGGTTGTTTTATTTGATGATCCACTAGCTTGTTTTATTAGCTGTCCATTGATGTTCTCAGGAGCCTTTCCCACGCCAGTGTTCAAAAGAGTCAATTATCCTGTTTTTTTTTCAAAGTCCAAAATATTTAGGATACTTAATATAAAATCCTACACTGGCAGGCCTATTGGCATGTGCAACTTGAATTGAAACTGAGTTTTGGTTTCGATCCCAGGCTAAAGAGAAACTACTTTAGTTAATGGATTCTCCATTAACATGCAAATTGAATTAATTTATTAATCCACAAGTTGGATTCTCCATTGGTTGTTTGGTTTCTCTAAAATAAGAACTACAGTACCAATAATTCTTGATTTATGGCCACAACTGGGATCAGAATTTCCATTGGTAAAGCAGTAGCACTGTCCAGTATCCTCCGGTTTTCCATCAATTCAGCTGACAAAACAAGGAATGTTTCAGCCATGTATTTTCTTCCAAGTAAGCTAGAGCCTATCCACTTGCCAGTTGTCCAGTTGACTCCCTGGAATCCAAGGGAGGATAAACCAGCTTTTGTCTTCTTAGATACCTTCAGCCAACATTCAGAAAAAAGGCATGAGGGATACTCCAAAGCTGACACCAAACAGAGTAGAAAGTTGAAAACCAGTAGACTCATTTTATATGTGTCAAGTTTGTTGGCTCACCTCCCCTCACTCTTCTTTCCTGGGGCCCTCAGGGTTTTTTCCGCCGGAGCATCCAGCAGAACATCAACTACAAGATGTGTGTGAAGAATGAAAATTGCATGATCATGCGTATGAATCGCAACCGCTGCCAGCATTGCCGCTTCAAGAAATGTCTGGCGGTGGGGATGTCAAGAGATGGTAAGCATCTGGGTAGGGTTGGTCTCTCTTTTGTGGCAGTGTGGGTCTGTAACTAAAGGCTTGAAGGCAACTATGATGAATTCATTTGAATGACAATCTATAGTCATGAATATTTGCTTCATGATCAGGCTTTGGGCAATTTTTCAAGCACATTAGAATTCACTGGCTAACACTGAGAGCCATTCAAGTGGATTCTCTTTTCTTGAACAGCTCTGAGACAGAAGACATGAAGCAGGAAAACCTCTGGAAGGCAACGTGCTCCCATTTCCATCCTTGGAATGGAAAACAAACTCAGCTCCCTCCTCCCGTGTCCCCAAATTGCACTGCCCAAATTTAGCTACTGAATTTTGGCAGAACGATTTGTTTTGAAGCTCTTCAATGATGGAAATGAGAAGTTTGCCTCCCGTATACTTACTCCTCCCTTTCATCAGTGTTATAAACCACAGCGGTCCCCAGCTCTGGGAAGGCTGTTCACCCCCTTTTTAAAGGAACAATAACTTGGTGGTTGCCTTTGCTTAAAATGATTGGAAAATGGCAGAGAGCAGTAGGGAAACAAGCAAAGGCTGGGCTGATACCAAGACATGCTTCGGTGTTAATGTATTTAGAGGGATAAAAGCTTAGTCCCAACTTTTGGCCTGTAGTGCTGCCTCTGCAGTCACTCTCCCACAAGGGTACAATGTCAGCAAATGCTTGGTTGATAAATGATACCCTGGGCTGATTAATGCTTTTGTGTCAGAATTTGCAAAGCAGGAGAGAAGGACGGGGAAGAGCCACTTGTTTGCAGAGTCCAAGCAGTGTCCTTTGATTAATGGGACAGTGGCTCTCCTAAGTACGTGACCCAGAGGCCTGAGAATCTGCATATAATTTTGGCTTTATGGCGGCGCTGCTGGCTTGGGAAGGAGGGTTGGATCTGGTCCGCCCTCTCTTTGCTGGAGAAGAATGAACAAAGACAAAGTGCTTTGCCACCACCTCCTAAATTGGAGAAGACAACCATATTGTACTTGTGTGTGCCTGAGAGTTTGCATGAGCTTCCCTGAGCATTTCGTATTAAGTGAAGTTTACGAATCGTGCAGTTTTCCTTATTTCCCCAGCTAGAGATGCCACCTTCGGTACAATCGTGTTAGGGTGCGGCTTCTCTTCCTGTAGGGCTAGGGCACAGAAGAAAGTTCTACCTGTTCAGTTACTTTACTGCTGCTTGATACAGCTTAATGTCTCCTCGACCCTCAGATTGTCACACTCCTTCTTCCCTTCCACAGCTGTGCGTTTTGGGCGCATCCCTAAGCGAGAGAAGCAGCGCCTGTTGGATGAGATGCAAAGCTACATGAACAGCCTGAATGAGGTCCCCATGGATGTGGGCCTGAGCTCTGAGGCGGATGCTCCACCCAGCCCTAACACCCAGGAAGAGGAGGCAATAAATGCCATCTCCAGGGCTTACCACGACATCTTCCTCAGCGGGCAGGACCGTCTGGGCAGGCGTAGTAGCTCCCCAGGGGCCGAGGCTGCCCCTTTGACCAACTACAACGAAAAGCCGCAGCTGAATCATTCCCTGGGTTATGGGCAATACGAATCAGCCACTCTTCGCCTCTCCAGCTACAACCCTCAAGAACCATCCTGTTATGTTGACAACAGTCCCTCATGCTATGGCAATGAAATCTTCCAGACCCAGCAGGCCAATTATCTGCAAAATGCTGGATGCTACCCATCCTTTGATTTTGGTTATTCTGAGGAAAGTGCCCAGAGGAGCTGTCCATGGCGGGGAACCACCAGAAGAGGCATTGTAAGTAGGCCAGACTTATACTGGGGAGTGGTGGCTGGGGATGTGGAGATATCCACCCCATACAGGCAGCTTTCTTGAAATAATCGCTCTGCACGTGCCCTTTGGGACTATTTCCTGCAAACGATTGTGGGAAATAGTACATGATGACTGATGGCACCTTCTCCCAGAGAATTTCTGGTCAACCAGAACTCAGCCAAAAAGCAGCTGTAATCCTTGACATCCCTCTGCTGTAAATTGTTGGTAGTGCAGTGGAAACAAGAAAGCAAACTGAGCAGGATTGGCAGAACAAGCTGGCATGGTATCTGTGGTTCCCATTGCCAGTTCCTATCCTTGTTTAACTATTAAAACTATTAAACTATTAAAACTATTAAAACTATTCCTGTTTTAAGTCAGGAATGGCACTTGCTCTAATTTTTAAAACCATGAACCACAGGATTGAATAGTAAAAGTGGTGCCCTCCAGATGGAATGGCTATGATACCCAGATCAAACGGTACAAGGTAAAAGAGCTGCGTACCACAAGCAGCTGCCACCACAAATGTAAAATAGCTCCTGCTGTTGGCAAATCAAGCAATTGTTTGTGGCTCTTAGTTTTACCAAGGAAAGTAAGAAATGAAATCGCAAGTCTGGTGTTTTCTCTTAAATCATCTGTATGAGTTCATGAAAAATTTTAGTGTTTTCTTTTTTGTTTAGAGCCAATCCATTGTTTTGATAAAAGCATTTTCGCTTTTATTCGCTGTATTCTCAAATACAGTTTAAAAATGACAATTACCCTGTTTCCTCCCAAATAAGACATTCTCTGATAATAAGCCCAATCGGACTTTTTGAGTGCATGGCAATAAGACCAAGCGCTTATTTCAGGGTTCAAAAAAATATAAGACAGGGTCTTATTTTCAAGGAAACATGGTAGTTGTTGATGGCTGGTCCACATTGGCAAGCTACAGAGTTTACTGCTAAGACTGTTTGAAATGGTGGCATATGAAAAGTGAAAAATGGCAAATCGACCCCTTTTACCTTCCAGCAATGCTTTCTAGTAATCCAAGATACTATTTAAAACCTTTTCATCCCACTTGGGGTGCTGGTGTCAGTTCTGGAAATAACTTTGACTGGAAGGAAAAAAAAATACAAATATCCTTTTTTCCAAAAGAATAGCCAGTGAGGCAAATTACCCATTTATCATTCTTCTTTTTCCCTCTCCTCCTATCCCTTTACCAATTCTATCCTTTCATTACATCTGGAAGCGCCTTTGTAGCTAAACTAGTTTACTATGTATTCTAACAACAAGGCCACTGTGTTTATGTGTTGCAACTTTTAAAAGTATGAAATAATACCATTTGAGTGTTAAAATGGATCATTTGCATTGAGCTTTGCTTGACCAAACATAACCTTTTTCTGTCAATCTCTTTGTGGCATGTAGGCTTGTCCTCTGAATGCCACCCCTTATTGTGGCAGTGGCAAGAGCAGTCAGCAAGTGTGGGAAGAGTTCTTACAATGCTTCACACCAGCTGTCAAGGAGGTGGTCGAGTTTGCCAAGAGCATCCCGGGCTTCCAGTCGCTCTGCCAGCAGGATCAAGTCATGCTCCTCAAAGCGGGCACTTTCCAGGTCAGCACTGGGTCATCCTTTCTGTGGGCAGCCCCCCCTCCCCCCCAAGTTTGTGTAAAAAAACGATTGATGCAACCTTAGTTAGCCTCAAGTTCTTTTCTGCATTGCAACAGTGTTCAGCATGATTTTTTTTGTTTTGGAGAGAAGCCATGAGAGAGCAAGAATGAGGAAGCACAGAGATATGGCTTTTTTGGGATGGGTTTGTTTTCCACAGTCTCAAGGGTTATGGAATTGCTTTTTAATTGTCAAATAGTTTTGCTATCATCTGGAGAACATAATTCTTGTTGGCAAGGTTTCACGGGAGCTGAAGCTGAGACCTCCCTGCAGACTGCATCCTTGTTGCTTTTAATATTGGAACAGGGAATTTTTCTTACAATTAAGAAGGCACTCTCCTCTCAGAATTTGGAACTGTTTCCAAATAGCATTCTTGTGTCCCAGGAATTGCCCAACTGTGGAAAATGCAAGTAGGGACAAGAAAGTTGTATCTACAAATCTTTATCAATTTTACACTTGGACTAGATTACTGGTTAGGCCTTTGGCTTGCTTCCAAGATGTAAACAGCACGCATGTGAGATATCTCCTCACTTTTCCAGGCTGGCCACCTCCCCCCACCCAAATTTTTTTGTGGTTCTTCAGATGTAGATGATAACATGCTCTGGGAAAATATGAGTTGCTCGTTGTTTCTTCATTCAGTCGAGAATGTGTTTGTCAAAAAGATGTGTCTGCTTAAAGTGACACTGTTCCACCATTCGTCCTTTCCTAGGTGCTGATGGTGCGCTTCTCCACCCTCTTCAGTCCCAAGGAGAAGAAAGTAACATTTCTGAGTGGGGAAACATATTCACTCGGCAGTCTGCGTTCCATGGGCATGGGCTCTCTGCTGGATGCCATGTTTGAGTTCAGCGAGAAGCTCAGTTCCTTGAGCTTAGATGCACAGGAGATGGCCCTCTTCATGGCTGTGGTCCTTGTCTCAGCAGGTGGGTGTGAGCTGTGTTGCAGTGATACAACCAGACTAAGGCTATGGGTAGTGAGACAGACTTGTTGCAGGAGCTCTTGTACAGTAGCTTTTGCTAAAAGCCTTCCTTCTCTACTGTAATTCTGTGATGGAGACTATAGCAGTGATGGCTAACTTTTTTGCCATCATGTGCCAAAAGTGGTGTGTGTGTGTGTGTGTGTGTGTGTGTGTGTGTGTGTCGCACACCCATAATTCTATGCACCCCACCCCCTGCACTCGCGACCGTCCCGCGCTCCCCCCGATTTTGGCACGCGATGGCCCGGTGGGCCCGGTAGGCCTGTTTTTTGCTCTTTCCAGGCTCCAGAGCCTCTCTAGGAGCCTGGGGCGGGCAAAAACGGTCTCCGCACCCCCCAAGAGGCCCTCCAGAGGCCGGAAACAGCCCATTTGCTGACTTCCAGTGGGCTGGAGCTGAGCTTGCATGCCTACCAATATGGCTCTATAGGTAGCCCTCAACTTAACAACCATTCGTTTAATGATCGAAGTTGCAACAGCATTGAAAAAAGCGACTTATGACCATTTGTCACACTTACGACAGTTGCATGCTCACATGATCAAAATTTGGATGCTCGGCAACTGGCGTGTGGTGTCCCAGGGTCATGTGATCACCTTCTGCAACCTTCTGACAAGCAAAGGCAATGGGGAACCCAGATTCACTTGACAACCATGTTACTAACTAACAATTGCAGTGATTCACTTAACAACTATGGCAAACATGATCGTAAAATGAGGCAAATCTCTCTTAACAACTGTCCTGCTTAGTAATGGAAATTTTGGGCTCACTAGTGGTCGTAAGTCTGCCTTACAGAGAATCTCATAGTTGGAGTCTGTCTGCCAGTAAGATCATTTCTGTAACCACAACAGAATGGAACCCAATTTGGTATAATGGAAGAAGCCTGCAAAAGGAAGGCTGAATTAAGAAATAAATCCAGCTGGACTCTGGGGAGAAAAAAACAGTCCCCCAGTGCATCCCAGTGGAACGGGCAATTGAGTTGCTTTTTTGACATTTTCTGATGAGAAGGAAGATATTTAAGTCAATCATACAAAGAAAGTTTTCCCAACGTAGAGACGTATAGGCAGGTTCTAATGGTGTTGCCATTTAGAAATGTGGATGCAATTGTGATTATGCTAAAGCTATGGTAATGGGTACAAGATAAAATTTCTTAGAATTCCACTAAAATTCCTCTATCCAGTGAGCAAGAAAATGTGTGAGAAATACCTATTGAAATTTCAGAAGTCCAGCAAGTATTAAGTTTATCAGAAGAGTCTATTCTGTCCTTTTTGTGTATCTAGAAGAAACCGATTATGAAGGGTCAAGTGCAATGCAATATAATATAATTAGATGTACTGTGTAATTCTGGTTATGTTCCATGCCTGCATATACCCTGCATTGTACATCATCTTATGTAGAACACAGATCACTTTCATATTTTGTACTTTATATATTTGATAATAGCAGGATGTTTCCAATAACTGTGTTTGATATTGACAATCTAGTGAAATAGTGCAAGTGGTCCTTGACTTATGACTGATCAATTAATGATGATTCGAAGTTATGACAGGCTTCAACCTGTTCTTAAAGTTACAATTGCCACCTCCCCCTCCTCCTTGGTTAAGTGATCAGATTTTGGGTACTTCGGCAAATTACAATTGGTTGCAGTTGGGCCCATGGTCATGTGACTGTGATTTCTGACTTTTGCTGGTTTTCAACAAAAAATGCCCCTTGGATATGTAGGATTTAGTTAAGGACCATGTGGTTGGCTTAACGACCATATGACTTACTTAAAGACCATGATGATTCACTTTATGACATTGTAACAATGGTTGTAAAATTGAGTTTAGTCATGTGGCAACTCGACTTATAACTGCAATGACTTATGACTGCAATTCCAGGTTCCATTTTGTTCATAAGTGGTTTAATTCTCCCTAATACAGGTAGTCCTCGATTTACAACAGTTCATTTAGCACTGAAAAAAGTGACTTATGACCATTTTTCACACTTACGACCATTGCAGTATTCTCATGGTCACATGATCAAAATCCAGACACTTGGCAACTGGCTCATATTTATGACTGTTGCAGTGTCCTGGGATCATGCGATCACTTTTTGCAACTTTTTGACAAGCAAAGTCAGATTCACTTAACAACCGGGGCAACAACTGTCACACTTAGTAACAGAAATTTTGGGCTCAGTTGTGGTTGTAAATTGAGGACTATACCTGTATGTTGTCATTTTTCCAAGGCAGCTAAATCCACCCCCTCTTTTCCATGTCTTCTTTCTTTGTCTTCATTTTTAACACGTTTGTTTTGGTTTTCCCAGATCGCTCTGGGATCTCTGATGTGGATGCTGTTGAAATTCTTCAGGAGACTTTAATCCGGGCCTTGAGAACTCTAGTAACCAAGAAGCATCCGGATGATTCCACGCTTTTCCCCAAGCTGCTTCTTCGTCTCCCTGACTTGAGAACTCTCAACAAGCAGCATTCAGAGAAACCTCTTGCCTTCTGGATCAACCCTTAATTCCAGCACATCGATCTCAAAAGCCCCTAAGACTTTAGGAAAGAAAGAAAAAAAAAAATCCACCATCAAGTAAATTTACTGCAGCGGACTAAATGTTGCTCTTTGGGAAATGACTGTAATGATGAAATAAGAGGTGTAGAAAGGACACAACAAAGGCAGGAAGCCCACGGCCCCTGGCAGCTTGTTGGAGTAGATCCAGTGAGGAGAGAGATGGGATAAAGGAGGAAGGATGCATTTCCCAGATAGCGCTCTCCACAGCACAATGCAGACTGAAGATCATTTACGTGCCAAGAGAGATCAGGCAAACAAACTGGACACATCTGTTATTTCTAAACGGGTGTGGGTGTGTATACACACGCATGCATATATTCACACATATATTTCCATACAGTGTTGTTTTGAGGCTCTACCCTGTATATAAAAAAAGCACCAGCTTCATTGTACATAACAGTAATCCTTGGTAGCTCTTGAGGGTGGGGCAAATGTAGGACCACCTGGTAAGGCAGTTACTCCCAAACCTAGCTTCCTTAATCTGCACGCTAGTGTAGCCCCAATCTCAAAACTTCTTTTTCTTTTCCTTTGCTAGCCTCTGTTCCCTTGCTGCTGTTCTCAGAAAGTGTGTACACACATACACACACAAAAGAGATTTTACCAAGTAGATGGTCTCATCAAATAGGAACTAGAACTACTCAAGTTTTCCACCTCCATCCCCATCTCATCTCGGCAACCAATTAAGCAAAGCCCCGATTCTCTTTCATCATGTCAGGTATGAGTGCCTAGGTAATACATATTTCATAAAGATCTCAAAACAAAAATACAAAAGGTCTTCCACCAGTTCATGGCAGATTTGCTCTCCCTTCTCGGTTGCGACTACAGCAAATTAAAGAGAGGTCGTTAAGAGGAGGAAACCTATGGAGATGCTGTCAGTTGATTGGAGGTCTAGTTTCTCAGCAAGCGATAGGAGCTTGATTGTAGTTGGATGATTCAAAAGAGCCACAGGTAGTCCTTGACTTAACAATAGTTTATTTAGGTTTTAGGTTTAGGTTTTATTAAATTTGTATACCGCCCTACTCCCGAAGGACTCAGAGCGGTGAACAGGCACAGGATAAAATACAGAAATACAAAAGTTAAAAACAATTTAAAACCAAATTAAATAATTTGGCCCACGACAATTAAAATCCCAATAAATTTAAAACAAATTAAAATTTCAATTTAAAATTTAAAAGAAAGGGGAGAAAAATTAGGCCAGGCCGGCTTGCTGGAATAAGAGGGTCTTAAGAGCACGGTGGAAGGTGCGCAGATCCGGGATCCTCCATATCTCCGGGGGGGAGCTCGTTCCAGATAGTGGGTGCCCCCACAGAGAAGGCCCTCCCCCTGGGGGCCGCCAGTCAACACTGCTTGGCTGACGGCACCCGGAGGAGCCCCTCTATGAGAGCGTACCGGCCGGTGGGAGGCTATTTGTGGTAGTAGGCGGTCCTGTAAATAACCAGGTCCTAAGCCGAAGTTATGTATTTAGATGTATTTAGTGACCGAAGATGTATTTAGTGACCGAAGTTAGAATGGCACTGAAAAAAAAGTGACTTATGACCATTTTTCACACGACATTGCAACATCCCCATGGTCAAATGATCCAAATTCAGATGCTTGGCAACTGATTTATATTTATGATGGTTGCAGTGTTCTCGGATCCTGTAATCACCTTTTGTGACCTTTTGACAAGCAAAGTCAATGGGGAAGCCAGATTTCCTTAACAAACATGTGACTAATTTAACAACCGTAGCAAGAAAGGTTCGTAAAATGGGCCAAAACTCACTTAACAAATGTCTCACTTAACAGCAGAAATTTGGGGCTCAATTCTGGTCGTAAGTTGAGGACTACCTCCATTGAAAGAGAGAAAGAGATTTGGATTAGCCAGTCTTCCTTTCATCTCTATAAGGTTCAGCCATAAGGAAGAAAGGGCTAAGCAGAGCAAACACTCCGAAGACTTTTCTGCTCAGCTTTTCGGATTATTTCTGGGCTTTGGTGCTTTTCTATCTGTTCCCTTTAAAGGGTGAAGTTTGAGATATTTCATCCTAGAAACCCTTGGCCTCTCATTTTAATTCCAAATCCCATTCCCTTTTTAAGGATGGGGCCAAGAATCCCAAACCCTCTCCAAGCTGCCTTTCTTATTCTATTCAGCACCGTCTTTTATTATAGATTTCCCATATAAACCCAAGAGTTTTTTGACTAATTCACCCACTCATCAGTAGACTGCCTTCCTTGGGGAGTGGTGTGTTCTTTGCACTTTATATTACTTTTCTTTTAAGCAACCAGATTCTGTGCCAAGCAATGTGTAAATTATGACCTGAGTAAATTATTCAACATAAACAGATGCCGTATTTGTTTATTCTGCATAATTTATTCTGCTTCCACTAATCACGGACAGTGAAGGTGGCACTGGAAGCTATGTTGAATACTGAAGTTTCATCCTCTGATCTCTAAAAATTCTGTGGTTTTTCTGGATTTCTGAGACTGTACATCACAATGGCACATCAGTGTCTCATGCAATATGTATATGGTTTGGAGCACCAAAGGGTCACATGGGTATGTAGATTCAATTGCACTCTCTGGGTTTGTTTGTTTTTATTATTATTATTTATGCCCGATTGTGACACAGCATTGGAGAAACGGCTCTGACGGGCATTTGGGGCTTTGGATTTTGCTGAAGCCCAACTTGGAAAGAATAGAAAACGTATTTTCCCACAACAAATAGAAACAGAATGAAAGTGGAGATGTTCAGGATGCTAACTTCTGTAACCCCAAATTCTGTGCTCAGAACAAAGATGCAACCGCAAATGCACGGATTTAATAGACTTGAGAGCTCTAGCCCTTGAGAACCTAGGATCTATTTTTCCCCATATCGAATTACAAATTTAAAAGAGGAAGCCGACCCATTGGGATATTTTTAAAAGACTTGGAGATGACCAAAAAAAAAAAAAGTGGGGGGGGGATCCTGGACTCCCTCTTCTCTCCAGTAGGATCTCCCAGTGTCCCTGTCTGGTTGTGGTCAGCCCTGCCTGGTTCTCTACATTGATATATGACAGGCTTTCCATCCCATTTACAGGAGTTCTCATAGCATGTTTGAATCACCCTCCTGTTGCATGATGTGGGGAATATTTGGTGTTCTTTGCAGGGTGGGAGGGACACTTGCTGCTGCTGTTCAACACTGCTTTGAAATGAAACCAAACGTTGCACTTTTTCTTAGAGATGTATGTAGGAACAAAGAGTCCCCTCCCTAAATTGAAGTATATTTGCTGCAATGGGAAAATGGAGAGGGGTTTATTTGCTGCTGCTGCTGCTGCTACTGCTACTGCTGGGAGTCCAAAAGACTCGTTAAAGATGCTGGCAAGGCAGAGAAAAGAGAGAATTTATTTTTTGTCTAAAATTGAAGTGCAATAAAGACATGAAAAAGATAAATAAAATAAATATTTGCTAACAGTACAAGCTTTCTGTCCTCCTTGTCGTTCAGGAGTTAGGATTTTGTCAAAAAAAAAAAAGGAGACCTGGAATTAAGAAGAAACTTCCTGACCGTGAGAACAATTAACCAGTGGAGCAGCTTGCCTTCAGAAGTTGTGGCTGCTTCTTCATTACGGGAGGGTTTTAAGAAAAGACCGGATAGCCAATTGTATAAGAGTCTGCTGCTTGAGCAGGGGGCAAAACAAATTCTGATGCTTGAAGGAAAAGTAATGACGGACTTGTCTTTCCTATGAAAAGCAGTTCCTTTGTCCAGCATTCTGGAATGTTCATTTGCAACATGTATTGAGAAGGTTTGCATTAGAAGTATTGCTGGCCATTCTAAAAATGCAGTGCCTGCTGTTCTCCTGAGCTAAACAGAAGGAACTGTTTAAGGTGGAAGTATTAAACATGGTTAATAATGAATTAGGCTGATCTACTTCAGTCCTCGCTCCTCTAGGGTTTTGCTTCTCTGAAGATCTTCCCATATTTTTTGAGATGATATAAACAGTATATTTATTAGGTTTTTATCCATTTTTTTTTATTTCTAAAAATGTCCCAAAGCGGCATTTATTTTAGGCAAGTGGTTTATGGTTGGCAGTTAGCTTTTTTGCAACTGTAATGGCCTCTGTTCACCACGAGGGGCCAGTGAAGGCCACAAAAATATTCCTTTTAAAGGGCTTTTGCAAAAATTATACACAAATAGATTACTCTAAATTCACAGACTACTTCAGTGGATCCGAGGCACTTGTCTATTGTTAACTGACTGCTAGCTTATCTGTGTGCCTCCACTTCTGCTGTGTTCTCATGATACAATGAAGGCTCATCTTCATGTTCCATTAACTGTGGTAATCCTAAAGTGGTCAGGAGACCATTTTATCTCATCTCCAGCCTGAAGCACAGCCAACTTGTATTTGTCTTCATCTGTCCAGATTGAAAGCGCTAATTTCCCTCTTCTCCCATTACATAGGTGTTTTTTCAGGAGGCAACTGGACTTCCTTTTTTTTTTCTTTGAAGACATTTCGCTTCTCATCCAAGAAGCTTCTTCAGCTCTGACTGAAGAAGCTTCAGGGGAACGGAAGGATTTATATTCCTTGCAGACAGCTGGTCATTTGCATTTTTAAAGAGAATCATTGAGGCCGCTTGGAGGTTTATCTGTGTCCTTGGGGTCACCTGAGTAGTGCAAATGGGTGCGGAGCCTTCTTGGCTGCAGGATGTTTGCTGCCCTGTGTCCCTTCACTGTTGAAGACAGGCACAGGCTGTTGGGGATGCTAAAAGTCTATGGAGTCTTTAAAAAAACAAGGAAGTCCAGTTGCCTCCTGAAAAAGCACCTTTGGGACAACCATGACCTGGATGACTGAGAATCTCCATAGACTTCTCCCAGCACAAGTTTTGCCAGGCACATGATCTACAATGTCTCACTGACATTAGTGGAGATAAGGTTAGGCTGGAATCTGGCCAGAAACTACTGATGGTGCCAGAGTACAGACAGTATTCCCTCCATTTTCTGGGCACTGCCCTCCACGGCCAGTTTGGCTTGGGCTGCTGGAGAGACTGGATTATTTCCTCCCTGGACATTGCCTCCTACATCATGCCTGATCCTGCCTGATCAGAAAAAAGTGGGCTCTTCATACGTGTGGATTCTCAATGGTAGGTCACTGGGCAGTAGAGGTGTACGAGGAGGAACAATCATCATCCTGCTTTGCCCTGTGTTCCTTTGCTGTTGCTGTGAGTGGTACCTGGCTCAGTAGTAGTAACTGCAAGAGAGATCTTGGAGTCCTAATGGACAATCACTTAACTATGAGCCAAAGTGTGCTGCATCTGCAAAAAAAGCCAATGCAATCCTAGGCTGCATTAAAAGCAATGCAGAATCAAGATCATACAAAGTATTAATACCACTTTATAATGCCTTGGTAAGACCACACTTGGAATATTGCATTGTGTTTTGGTTGCCGTAATATAGAATAGATGCTGAGATTCTAGAAAGAGTACAGAGAAGAGCAACAAGAATGATTAGGGGGCTGGTGGCTAAAACATATTAGAATGGTTGCAGGAATTGTGTATGTCTAGTTTAATGAAAAGAAGGACTAGGGCAGGAAATCCAGCAGGTTCTGGAGAACTGGTAGCAGAATTTTGAGTAATTCGGAGAATCGGCAAATACCACCTCTGGCTGGCCCCAGAGTGGGGTGGGAGTAGAGATTTTGCAATATCCTTCCCCCAGGAGTGGAGAGGGAATGGGGATTTTGCAGTATCCTTCCCCCTGCCATGTGCACCAAGCCACACCCACCAAGCCACACTACACCCACCAAGCCACGCCCACAGAACCGGTAGTAAAAAAAATTGGATTTCACCACTGGACTAGGGGCGACATGATACCAGTGTTCCGAACTAAGGGGCTGCCACAAAGAAGAGGGAGTCAAGCTATTCTCCAAAGCACCTGATGGCAGGACAAGAAGCAATAGATCAGGGCTGTCAAACTTGCGGCCCGCAGGCCAGATGCGTCATGTACTGGCCACGCCCATGTCCAGTTTAGACAAGGGGAAAAAGTCGTGATACGTCACATGATGCGAGTTTGACACCCCTGCAGTAGCTGGAAACTAATCAAGGAGAGATACAACTTAGAATTAAGGAGAAATTTCCTGACCGAACAATTAATCAGTGGAATAACTTGCCTCCAGAAGTTGAGGGTGCTACAGCACTGGAGGTTTTTAAAAAGGGGTTGGATAACCATTTGTCTGAAATGCTATAGGGTTTCCTCCTTGAGCAGGAGGTTGGACTAGAAGACCTTCAAGGTTCCTTCCAACTCTATTATTCTGTTCTGTTCTTATCCACTTGAGCTACAAGGAGAATCAGAAAAAGCCCTTATCCACTCCATTCCAGCTCCTACATATTACAAATTTAAAAAGGGTATAAGGGAGCAAGTGACAGTGTCCTGGAAATAGCACACAAAATGGTGATGGAAAAGACAAAACAGTACTGTCCCCTCCTCTAAAATAATAAGAACAAGGAATAACTATAGCTAATCGAAGAGAATATTTGTCGCTCAGGGTTGAATTGTGGGGTCTGTAGTGCTCTCTGAGTTTGTTTCTTGCAAGCACTGATGAAGTTACCTAGTTTGGTAATGAAATGTCTGGAAGCAAACAACCAAGCTCAGAAAGCATCTCAAGGACCCCACAAAAAGTATAGTCATGCAAAATCAGCAGGGAACCTGCAATTCAGGTTGAGGATAGAATCAGAAACACCTAGAACTTGATTTTCTTTCCTGGTTTAAATTGACTTTCCGTGCAGTTGCACATAATTAACACTCTATTTGGTAGGTGCTAATACACTCCTAATTTGCTTTTGTCTTAGGACTAGCTTTGCTCTTCTTCTTCTTCCAGATGTGTTGGCCTATAGCTCCCATTTTCACTGGACATATTACTGGGGTGATCTGCAACACAGACCAAAACATATAGAGGAATCTAAGTTGGGTGAGGTTGTCTCGAATCCTTGCAAAGAGCGGACTAAATATTGGCATCCTGGAAACTGAGCCATGCCTTTTACAGTTAAAAGAAAACAGTTTTTCTTCCTTCTGTTATTGCAGTACACACTCTAAGGTATGACCTGGGTTCCTATTTCTGCACACACTCGTTGCCCATCAAACCCCAGAAGTCCAATCTGGCCAGACACGAAGCTTGTGTGTTTGCCCAGCTGAGGACATAAAACCCCTTTCCTCAATAGGCCCCTTGTTCTTGGGCTGCTTAGCTTGGTTCTGCAGCCCCCAGCATCACCTCACCTTGCGGTAACCAGCCATCTACTTTATTTGACTTGAGACTTAGCCAAGAGGTCTGGACAAGGCAAGAACTGTTAAGAGTTTTGGAGGTGGTTGGAGAAGAGAGAGAGAGAGAGAGAGAGAGAGCGAAGTTCCTCTGATTTGCGATCCCATTACCAAAGCTCACCTTCTCTCCCCTCTTCTAGGCCTCATTGCACACTGTAGGGAAGGATAGAACAGAACAGACATGTGCCTAAGGTAAAGCTTACTACAAGGCATCTATTTTCCGAGATCCTTCCAAAAGGAACATCTGAACAAAAGCCAGATCTACAAGGTTCCTTGTGAATTTTAGAAGTGATCTATCTATTGGAAAACATCACAACTCGTATCTTTCTGCATAGTGATGTATTAGCAATTACCGATGCTAGCCATATATTTTCATGGATATTTTTGACGTTTTAATAGGATCCCCTTGAAATCACCATTAAACATACATCATACCTGTCTCCTCGAAGTGCTAATACTACTCCAAATCCTTGAACACTTGAAAAAAGTTAAGTAAGCCAAAAGTTTCTATGAGACTTCCACTCTGGCTGTGTATTAATTCTTTTTTGTCACTGCAAAACATATGGCACAAATTCCTAGAGCTGAAAGAAGCTGGAAAGCCTATCTATCACTATAAATATGCATAGTACAAAATAATCTTTGTGACCAAAATAGCAATAGCAGCACTTAGATTTATATATCGCTTCATAGTGATTTAAGTGGTTTACAGAGTCAGCCTATTGCCCCCAACAATCTGGGTCCTAATTTTACCCATCTTGGAAGGATGGAAGGCTGAGTCAATCTTGAGCCGGTGAGATTCGATCTGTTGAACTGCAGCTAGCAGTCAGCTGAAACAGCCTGTAGTACTGCACTCTGTAGTACTGCATCACCTCCAATTCACTTACTGGATTTCATCACTAAAGTTAACTAGTTTCAGTGTTGACCTGCTGCTGATAATACATGTTAAGGCAGCATCCTACACTCACTTCATACTCATACTCACTTTGTTTTGAGTGAGTTAAGTGATTGGATTTTTTTAATCACTGCTAATCAAATTGGATGGGTTCCCACCTTTGTGCTAAACCATAAACTGATTTACAAACCACAATTTCTGGGTTACACTAAGCCAAACTTCCAAAGCCAAACCAATAATCCAGGACCTCGGTGCCTTCCGCCGTGCCCTTAAAAC